AGGTAGGGTGTTATTCAATAAAATTCCGAAACAGGGCGTTCTTGAAAAGTTTTTTGAGATAGGGCGTTTTCGAACTGGCTGCCGAGATAGGTCGATCTTCCACTCAGCAGACGATTTCTACTTCGGTAAGTGTTACTATGCGAACATTTGAATTGGTCAATAGTTATTTTCGAGCTCTGATTTTACATAACGTTCTGTTATGGATATAAGGATTTACATATATGAAAGGACCTCGAGAAAATGTCTCTAATTCAGGTACCTTTTGCAAATAAATAAACTGGTTTCTGGGGACTTTTTAATACCAGACTACGTAAATCATGATACTCTTAGGGCCGTTTTCTCAAATAGATTTTAAAATTAATCTGTCATTCAAACACAAATTTTGTTCTGAATAAAATGTGTTTAAAGGGCAGGTAAATTTTAAAATTTACATGCGAAAACGGAACTTTAATAATACATACATATATGCAATTTTGGCATACCGCGATTTTCCAAACCGTTTACCGACCTCTAAAACGCTGCAGATTTTGGATAAAGAATTCGTTTTGAAAACATATTAAAACGTAGTTTTACCTCCGGTTAGTGTTAACAAGATATTGAGAAATCGGCCCTTAGCACACTTAGTATTTAGTGCACTACGCTCAACTCTGCGTAATGGTAACTACTAACTGCACGGCACTGTATGGATGTAGGTTGTGTGTATGCCTAGTGCATTGCAATTTATCAAACTATTTTCGCAGATGTCAAGAAAATATGTCTATTTTTATACCAAATATACGTAAGTGGAAATACATACTTTTACTCTAAAGTCGTGTGCTTAGCTATTTATAGCTTACCCTTTCGTACTATTAATTTAGATTTATGAAAATTATTGCAACAATTGCTTTATTATTTAAAATATAAATATACCAACGTAGAATATTGTTATTTTTATTCACAAGTTTAACATTGTGATGTGTTTATTATTGTTGTAGTAATTACTGTTGCACATGCAGCCGGCGGGCTCTGACTTTTTATTGCACACTACTCGTATCATCATCGATGCATGTGAACATCGCTCATTGTGCTTGCGATCGTTGTCTGCTTTGTTGTGGATGTACAGTAGGGTTAGAACTTTACTACGATTGTAGTAAGTCAATGACATGAATACACAGACCGAAAGTGAAATATGTAATGTCAATTGACATTAGTCGCTTTGGAATAGATTTACACTGAAGTTTGTAATGTTATAAAAATAATGTTTGTTATTTAGACTTAAACTAGCGAACGCTGGCTGACGAGGTGTTATGCACTTTTAAAGCTGTATAATATGTCAATAATGTTCATGGATTTTACTGTACTTTCGAAAAGGTAATACTGTTGTCAATGGACGATAAGAAATAGTGTCCATGGACGTTATTTCCGCGGCGCCTTATTTCACGTCAACGTAAAGCTTGCATGATTTTTAACACTTCTGACATTAAATCACTTTTCAACTGTGTATTAAAGCCAATGACATTATTTATACAATTCTTCTGGCATTATTTCACTTTTGGTTTGTGTATTAATGTCATTGACATTAATTCACTTTTCAAATATGTATTAATGTCAATGGCATTTATTAATGTCACGTCACCTGATTTTCGAGAAAATTACAAATTTACTACGCTACAGGATGAAGACACAGAAGTTAAAGACATGTTACGAATAGTTTAAATTTCTTAATACGGAGAGCTGATTAAATACTAAAATTGCTAATAATGCCTTTTTTCTTATTTATTTAGTGGAGAAAAAAATGGTTTCCCATATTAAATATAACTGTAGTAATGAGAATGAAATTCTTTTAAATGCGCTGCAAGAGCGAAATTTTCATCATCAATATGTTTTAAAAGCGAGCTAGCCTTGCGAAATCCAGTTTGGGGTTTGTTACCGTAGATTAGTTCAATCGAACTGAGTTGAATCGTAATTTTTAAGATAATTTTTTTCCGCTCTTTTGTTAAAATATATTAGACTTGTTTGAAATAGAAGAGGATAACGCTATATCATCAAATCTTAATTTGGTTCGTTCCTTCGACCAAAGAGTACTTGTCTTCTAGTTAAGGTGTAATGGAGAAAATACCAGGGACCTGATTGAAAGATATCCTGACGCTTTTTCGTAGAACATAAAAGAATGATATGCAACCATTTTTGCATACTTAACTATCTGCCATACCTAAACAAAAGCGTTAGCGTTGTCTGGCTGTTAAAAAATTCTCATGCCCATACAATTTGTATGAAGCATACCGAAACAACGCGGCGTCAACGCTGGGCGGTTTGGAAATCCGATTTTGACAGGGCGTTAGGTATTGAAGTTAGCTGCAGAAAATGGCGAAACTGTCATTTTCGTCTTACACACAAACAAACCTATACTGATTGTTGGTGTTATTTCCGCATTTGACGTAGCGTTGACGCTTTTGTTTAGGTATGGCACATCGGCGGTAACGCTAGGCGTCAGAAACCGCTCCGCCCAACGCTTTTGTTTAGGTATGGCAGTAAACAACATATACATTGATTCCCGATAAAATAGGGCCACGACCTTTTGACAAGTTTGGAAATTTTTTTTCATATAATAATAGACTGACGTTTACATAATATGTTTGTGTTTGGTTGAGCCGTCTCCGGATGGCAAATGGTTTTAATGAAAAGCTTTTTCAAGGTAAAAATACACTCGGAGGTTCGCCATTCCCTGCCGAGGGGCGATTGGTGTTAGAAATAACTTTTGCTAATTTTAGATATTGCTCGGACCAGGAATTGATGTATGATGTCACTTAAAAACCCGTTGATTTTTGACATTTTTTTTTTCTGAAGTGACACAGTGGGACGTCCCCATATATTCTGCGGCCAAAAGAAGTAACCGTACAACAAATTCGCTGAAATTCTATACTTAAAAATGAAGAAATGTGGAGAATGGTATAAGTCGACGCAGTGAAACGCCCATACCTCTTGTATGCGAAAATTATATATGTTATCCGTTTTTAATAAATTCATAGTATATGCTGATTTTAACCAGGGAAGCATAAATCTGAAACAACGTCAAAATCAGTTAATATTATCGTCCACCAACTTAAAAAATAGGAGAAAATGTTAAAATATTATATTTTGATGAGATTTGGTGTACCCTGCCCGTTTTACGCCAATTTGTTTTTTTTTTTTTTGGAAGGCAATGAAGAGTTTATCACTATGGCACCGAGCCTTCTACAAAATTCTTTTGGCTCTAAGTACTAAATTTAATAAATTTTGGAAAATTTAACAAACACATTTATTTTATTTCTAAAACAGTTCCCTTTTCTTGCATTTAAAACTGACTAACCGAAAACATTTACTATATCTATATACCAAATTATATGAATGCTATGTATTTGCACTGGAACCTTCAATTTTACCTGCATTTTATACAACACAATCAGGGCCAAGACAAGCAGCACTTTTGCCATCGAAAACGAATCTCGTCCAGAGAGGCGTCCACTTTTGGCTGATTGCTGAATCAGATTCATACATTGACAAGACATAAATATCTACACCTGCCTCCATTTCCATTTCCATTTTTTATAACGCTTATTTATTTTATGTACATAGCAGATGGGTACTTATATAAAAAATCGACTACGGAACTTTATTTTCTGCTACGATTTCTCACGTCATTTACTACGTTTTAGGCTAGCCACAGTTCTAACCCTGATGTGCAGGCTAGACGCTTTTAAGGTCGTACATATTTATAGCGTTGCATCTTTTTTTCTGCTTAGCCGTGCCTAATCTTGTTGGCAAAAATTTGGTCTCTAATGTGCAGCTCTTGTTTATGTTGTTATTGTTGAAGTGTTTCGTTGCATCACCAAAATAACCTAACCCAACAAAAACCATAGTAAAGCTAAATAAGCACACTGAATATTCATTTCGGGGCGCTTGAACTTTTTGCCTTCTCTTCTTCTGAACGTTACTTTTTCGTTCTCGTTTGCTTCCATATACTAGGTCATTTTTCATGGACGCTGCAGTGTGAACTTGGTGCGACTTATAGTTAAGAAACTCAGTCATTATTTAGTATAGCAAATCACGAAGGCCATCGAACAAACTACATACTTATACTCAAAAAATTAATGTACAAAGGTACCTATATATGTATGTATGTTTAAATTTGCATATTGATACGGCACACATGTTTTTAATGTAAATCGTATTAATTTTGCCACATACATGTTTGCATAGCGTCTGTCCATGGCTCACATTTGCGTGATTATTTCGAAACTGTTTATTTCGCAGTTGAACTGAATAGGAAGTGTGCCATTAAAAATGAGACAAAGTACAATTAGGTGCGTACGTACTTAAAATGAGGAAAGAAATAAATGATTTCAATTAAGCGGGGAATACTTTATAAGCTAAATGTATGCGCAGAAGTAAGTATACTGTGATGTAAAATATATCTCGCGCTAATAAACGGGAAGTGCTTGTAAGTGGCGAGAATAGTATATCGAAATAGTTTCGGTACGTTTTGGTTATAAAAACACAATTGTAGTTGTTTTATTCTTACTTAAAGGGGAATAATTTTATTCGGTGTGCTTAAGTGCCGGGAAATACTGTACTGTATACTTAAACCTTTTTTTATAAAATGTACGTTCGGGTTTTGAGTCTTTCACTTTTCACTTCCAAAGGAAATCCCAAGGCGAATTTATACAAGGTGGTGTTGATGGCGAATTTCGATTTTCGCCGAGGTACGTCTTAATGTCAAAATGATGTGTTTGTTGTAAAATGAATTCGCCTTGTTTACAACAAACACATCATTTTGACATTCAGTAGTACCGCGGCGAAAATTTAATTCGCCACCAACACCACCTTGTATAAATTCGCCTTGGAAAATCCTCTAAAAATAAATGCTTCTAATGTTTGAGGTATACAGGTTAACTAAATAAGTGCTTTAAAACAACTTTTATGGTAATTGAAAATCACATAACTCCTATTATTTTTCATTCATTACTTTTATAGCCACTTACCCAGCACGAACTTGGCAAACAATCCCACCGCTGTAATGGCAATTTGACTAAAAATATACCATAAGCCTGAAGGACACCGCAAACGAGAGAATATCCAATCGATGTTATATCCCATGGCGAGTTGCTGCTGTGGTCGGGGCTCTTGCTGAGGCTGAACGTGAAACTGGCGCAGCGCGAAAGCGATGATGGGCGCGATATTGTTTATTTTTTATTTTTTTTTTTTGTTGGTGATGAGTTTGGGATGATTGAAGAAATAATAGAAAAACACAGTAAAATTAACAAATGATGAATTAAACAATTGCTTTCGCGGGTTTTATTTGCATTTATAGTTTTTTTTCAAAAATCACTTAAAATTATGACGTAATAATAAAAATAATAATTCCACCATAACTTAAAATCAATCAGTACCGGAAAAATTATCTATTAATGTATATACATAAGTTGTTGCTCTTAATTTGTTGCACAAACGAAAAATGCAAAAAATTACGTCTTGCACAACGTCAACGTAACGCGGGCGAATGCTTAAAATTGCTTGACAAAATAAATGCGCGTAATATTTTTTAAAAATATAGAATTTTTTCTGACAATTTCACAAGGACTTTTATAGCAGAAAATTCGTTGAATATATTTTTTTATTATTCTAGATGCTAAAGTACACAGTTATTTAATTGTACCGTATTTTAAATACTACACGCATCACGCGCCTACTCATACTTAGGGCCGTTTTCTCAAATAGGTTTTAAAATTTATCTTCCCTTTAAACACAAATTTTGTTATGAAAAAAGTGCATGTTTTGTCTACTTATCCTTATCGGGCTCACGCCATTCATAATATTGTCATTTTAAGCAACCTTCTACTTTTCAGAGCAACCATCTCCCCTGACAAAGCATCAAAGGGCAGAGGATGAGCCGTTTGGCCTTATTGGAGTGCAATATTTTAAGAAACGAACACAGAATTTTCCTCTTCAGCTAAGTTTTCAAAAGAATCGGTGTTGCTGTATGGCGCGCGTGTACCTTTAGTTAACCTCTACAACATTTGTAGGTGGGCAATTTTTGCTCGCGAGCAACGCCAGCGCCGCAGTTCGTTTACGTATAGGCCCGTTTACACGCAACTTTGGCGTTGCGTTGGCGTTGGCGTCGCTTCGACAGCTGACTATGAATACATGCATTTATAAGAAACTCTCCACATGACCAAAGTTGGGCAAAGCCAACGCCAACACAACGCAGAAAGATGGCCAACTCTCAACTTTTCGCGTGCGTCGTTCGTCAGTCAGCTGTCCAAATAATCAAAATTATGTGATTTAATTTTCCTTTTTAAACCAAATGCGGGCAAGAAATATAGTTTTTAATGAAATTATTGATTTAAAATTTTGATTTATCTGCCGCTAGTATGTTAATTTAGTAACCAAAGTATTCTCTGCTAAGCGTTCATTGTAGCAAGCATGGGCGTTACTCGCGCTGCTGTCAAAGCGACGCCAGCGCAAACGCAACGCCAAGGTTGTATGTGGACCAGCGTTGCTACTAACAATTTTTTCCCCTACCAATTTGTTTCCCAAATTCGACCAAAATTGTTTACAACCTACCAAATAAATTTCAATTACAAAAAAGCATTCTGAAAGCATACAATTCATTTATTTAATTCTGTATCAATGACAAAAATTTTTTTATTGATAAATTTAAACTTTTTCACCAATAAGAGACGTATTTGCCGCAATAAGAGAGAGGCCGAAGTGCGTGAGTGCGAAGAGCTTGAAACGACAGGAAAAACGCCCGAAAATTTTACGAAAGAGTTAGGCGACTTACGGAAGGTTTTAAGACCAGGGCGACTCTTGCAAGAACAACAATGGCGTACAGTGACAGTTGTCCAGAACGCGCTGAAAGCTATAGCTGTTTTCTACCAAACGGGGTTTCAGACAGGGTGACTTCCTTTCATGTGATTTCTTTCATCTGATGGATAAGATAATAAGAGCTGCAGAACTGAACCGCTCAGGAACATTTTTTTACAAGAGCGTGCAATTGCTGGCGTACGCCGCACTAAGGGGTATTTGAGCCAAAAAACCCGGTCAAAATTATTTAGGGGCCTATATTATCTCAAAATACAATAAAAACAATATATAATCAATATTTTGCATTTATCAATAAAAATACATTAAAAAAGGGAAAAAAATTTTAAAGTAAAATTTTTAGAAAATTTGATTTTATTCGGAGTCAGTGCCATCCGATTCGCTGTTGCCATCCAATTCGCTGTTAACATCCGAATACTCTTCATCATCATCAATATCTTCAACAGTATTGTCGTCCGACCTATTTAAGTTCGTTGCAGCAATCAAAATGGTGTTTGCCTCGGGGGAAAATGGCAAGATTTTCTTTTTATTCTTTGGCCGACTCGAGCTGAGAGAGGATCGGATGTTAAAAGTAATCTATTTAAAATGTCTCTGTTGCACTTAGTCCTCGGAAATTTTCTTGCAAAGTCTACCCGATATTTGCGAATATGCTTATTTCTCGCCTCAGCGGCTTCCTCGGACAATTGTCCAATTGGCAGAATTGCTTCTGCCATCACTTGCGATCCGTGCATCAGAATTTTGTGGACTGTAGGCGACATTAGATGCCATCCGTACAATTCCACATACAGTTTGGCAGTGTCTTGGGCATAATCATAAAATTTTTGGTGATCAACCTCATGGCCACTTGAGATTACCTCAAGAATCACTTCAAACTTATTGATTGATTCCAAGTTGATGCCCGCCTGGACGTATTCCCATCATTGCTGTTTCCAAAGCCAGCTTTAGGAACATCAACAAGTAGACTTATTTCTTCTCTGAAAGATTTCCGTAATTTCTATTTTGTTTCTTTAACAATCCTTTTCTCTTCCTGTGTACTGAGAGCCCAAACTTTAGGGCTTCTTTTTTAACAGCACCTTTCTCTAGTTTGTTCAAATCCTTTGATGTCTGGCCGCATATATAACATCGCATAGTTGATGCAGTTTCCGTTGCGGAGTTGCAGACCTTTCCGTCTGCCATTGTCAGCAAAATATTGTGACTGATTTTCACTGATATTTCACTGTCTACAGTTTCCTTCAGATTTTTAGCGTTGTTTTCAATGTATTATAAAAGAAAAAATTTAAGCAAAAAAAATATTTTTTGAAAAAATTTGTCTTTGACTAAAAAAAATTTAAAAAGGTTGGGGTGGGTCGCGGGGAGGTTTTATTTTTCATTCAGATAGGCAAAGGTTCAAACTTTATTATCACATTTTAAATGTAAGGTAACAAAGCCCGACACATAAACAAAAACACTATTGTTTTAAACTTTTGTTAAAAATACCACGTTTTTAAGAAGGAAATTTTCAACATAAGTCTAAATGCGGAACTTTGACGAGAAATTACCTTCAACATCCATATTCAGTACGAAATTTTCTGGTAATTCACCATACGAAGAGATATTAACACAGAGAAACATGTAAAATAATCAAAAGCGCCGACAACAAAGACACGCGTTACACACAAAGGCTAGGTTCCGACTGATTATGTGGCCAGACGCAGTAAAACTCGCGGGTTTGGGGGCGGTGAACCGGTTATCGTACTTATTTAAACATGCATTGTTTGTGTCATTTTATGAATTTTAGAAAAACCACTTTTGACCGGTTTTTTGCCTCAAATACCCCTTAGTGCGCCGATGACATCGACATCATCGGTATCAAAAACCGCGAAGTCTGTTCTGCCTTTTCTAAGTTAGATAAGGAAGCAAAGCGAATGGGTCTGGTGGTCGACGAGCACAAGACGAATTATCACCTCTCATCAAACAAACAGTCAGGGCATTAGCGTCTTGGCACCTACGTCACTGTTGACAGTTATAATTTCGCGAAAGTGGAGAATCACTCTTGCCTACAAGTGGCACTTTGGACTGAATAGGCAATCCAGGAGTAAAGTCCTCTCTCGACGTACGAAAACCACGCTCTATAAGTCACTCATCATGTCCGTGCTGGATATGGCGCAGAAGCATGAACAACATCCGATGTGGCAACTCTTGGAGTATTCGAGAGAGGATTTACGGACCTTTACGCGTTGGCGACGGCGAGTACCGCAGACGATGAAATCATGAGCTGTATGATTTTTACAATGACATAGACATAGTGCAGCGAATTAAAATACAGCGGCTCCGCTGGCTTGGCCATGACGTTCGAATGGACACCGACGCTCCAGCTCTGAAAGTATTCAACTCGGAACGCTGGTGGTAGCAGAGGAAGAGGGAGGCCCCCATTGCGATGGAAAGACCAAGTGGAGAAGGACTTTGCTTTACTAGGCATTTCCAATTGGCGTCAGTTGGCACAGAAGAGAAACGACTGGCGTGCTTTGCTAATCTCGGCCAAAATCGCTTACGCGGTTACAGTGCCATATTTCTTGAAAACACTAAAACACAGTTTTGTAGTAAATTTAACAAGAAGTATTGCACTACTAATTAAGTACCTAATAGGTGGCAGCCACAAAATCAAATATTCATTAATGAAATATTGATGTGAGCGTATTTTCCTTTTTATTTACACAGTTTAAAAAGGTCTTTAAACATCCCGAGCCGTTTTATTTTATCTCAACCAGCATGCGTGAGAACAATGACAACTGATAACGAGAGCTTGCAGGCAGCAAACATTGAAACGTCACACTTTCCTGATACCACAGAGGGAGTTCAGCATACGCATGTTACTTATACAACACCAATATCTATGTACATTAGGGCTGTGCAATTATTCGATTACTCGACCAAGGTGGTTAATCAGTTTTCCGGTTAATCAATTACTCGATTAATTAAGATTTTGATTACTCGAAACGATGATTAATCGAGTTACTTGATATATGATTGCTCAAAAAAATTAATTTTGCTCGTTAAATGAGTTTGCTTTGGAAAATGTTTTTTTTTTCTTTTTCACATTCTGTAAATGAAAAAATTATTTTTGCAAACAGAAACGTTGTTTTCAAAGTATCAAGGAACTTCAACAGCTTTATATGTAAACAGTACTTTGAAATGTTGATTACTCATTTTAGTCATAATGTTGATTAATCATAAATCAAATTACTCATATGTTTTTGTTTTTGGTTAATCAAAATCTTGGTTACTCGAGTAATTGAACTTTTGAGTAATCATAATTTAAATTGAGTTATCTACTTTATGATTAATTAAAATTTTGAATAATCAATTAATCGCACAGCCCTAATGTTCATACATACTTAGGTGTATATGAATATACATATTTATAATGTCCATTCGCGCTCTCGAGTGCTAAGCGAACTTGACAACATACATAACTCTGCATTTTAAACATACATATGTATGTATGTACGTTTTTTTTCTGTCGACGAAAATTTTATATTTTTTCGCTTCTATTTCGTTGTCACTTCAATAAATTTTATAACATTTTAATGTAACTTACCGCTTTTAAGTAGCAAAATCATGCGCCATTCTCATAACTAAGCGTATAAATTTAAGGAATTAATTTCGGTAGCTTTCCTGCTGCGGCCGTCCCTGCCTCAGCTGCCGTTGTGGATGTCTTCACCCGATCGTTGTCGTTGTCGTCGAAAGTGCGCTACTCTTTTCATTACTAATTATAGCACAGAATTTTTAATATTTTCGAACGAAATTTTCTCGTTGTTTATGAATAAGAAGTATTATTAAAAATATGTTAAAATAACTTGGGGTTTCAGGAATTTTTTGTGCTACA